ATTAATCTGGAAGAAATTTAGCGAGAAGGTGTTGAGTTGTATAATGGTTAACTCCCAAACAGCACAGATTAAATAACAGTATTTTGACACACACTCTGAATCTGGGATTAAAATTAAAAAAAAAACAAAACAGATACAAAATGAATTAAGTGATTGTGATCAAATTCATGATACTACATAAAAACAAGGGTTTCATCAGCATACTTCTCACTCTTTCTCACTAAAATCTTATTTTATTAGTACGAGGAACATTATTTATGTACAAGTACTCACTGGTCCATCCTTACGGTTTTTATATTTGAGGTGCAGCAACTTTACAGGCTAAAACCTCCAAACAGAAGTTGGGAAACAACTGGTGTTTTCTCACTTGTCACCTTAAATGTGCAAAATACTCTTCAATTATTTTTTGTTTTTCTGCCCATAATCACCTAAAAACAAGTTATTTTTTTACATTTTTTTGTGGTATTTTTAACAACTCTACCTTTTTAAAATCTGAGATAACAGAATTTAAGTCAAACAAATTAGAGCATGTTTAATAAAGAATAATATATTCAGAGGAATATGACCAATTTATCTCAATCTCTGTCATTCCCAACCCATGAGTCTAAGCGCATTAGTTTCATAGAATCTAATTGTACATGTTATGCTTTTCTAAAAGTAAGGATTCTTATTTGTCTGAGAAATAACTGAAATTAAATTTGTAAGCATTTTAAATTAATTGTATTTTATCTCTTCCTGGCTCTCCATTGTAGCGTATGTGGGCTATATTGATGATAAAGATTATTAAAGAGAACTTTGTATCCAATTAAAAAAATAGTAATTTAAAATATCTTTAAATAACTACGGAGTTCAGTATAACCCATTGTATTCTTATTTCAAAGTTAAACTGAATGTCACTTAGAAGTTATACTTTTTTCCTTTCAAAAGCAGCCTGGTTTTGATAATAATCAAAAAAATAAATAAGTGATTAATGTAAGCAAAAGGCATGTCAGACAGTTGCTAATGTTAAAAATGATGCCCTTAGTGACTACAGTGCCCCCAGATTTGATGGAGGCTATTGACACCTAAAGAGTGAGGGTGCAGAGGATATTTACTAGATTCACTTCTTCTTGTTTTCTATAGACAAGAAATATATAAAACTAAATATTAAAGGAGTAACACTAAATATTAAAGGAGTAAAGTTTAATATTTTTTTAATGAACACACACATATGATAAAGTATATGAACACCAACGAATATTCATAATCTGTAAACTATAAGTATTTCTTGTTCTTTTCCACGCGGTGACCTAACTTGTTAAAACACGATTTGCTTCTATCTGGGTTTCGTACTGCAGAAAGTACCTCACCCGACTTCTTTTCCAAGGTCACATGAAGGTAAGAGTTTTGTGTTTGCTACTAGTTTACTTTTAGGTGCGATTATGGGCTGGGAATGGCATAACCGTCCAAAGAGGGCTTAATTGCTTATTAAACAGCATGCCATTTAATATGCTTCATCTTTTTTTTCCCCCTTGCTAAGATTTTAGTAAAAACTAGCAAGCGTTATTCAAAGTCTAGATTACATATTTTGTAGGCTGCTTACAGTTACAAAAGAATGAACAGTATTCATAAATTAAATATTGAGATTGAGGGGAAAAGAAATCACGTATAATTTTGTTACTTGATATCTTTTTACCTCTAAAGGTAAAAATGAATGTGTAGCTTCCATATTGGAAAATATCAGAACAATGAATTCAGCAATTCCATGCAGCACGGTGGGTCACTATTTCTTCAACCAACACTGGCAGAGTCTCTCTGGATTTCACATCTACTGATATCCTATATTCATATCTCACCTATTCACTTATGTAACTTTTTTATCCACCCGTGTACCCATTCATTTATTTAATCATTCCAAATATCAGGCACTCTATGACTCCCGGCCTAATTGACCTTATATGTTTTGGTAGAAGAAAGGTAATAACTTTGCAAATCCAAAGTGACAAGAGGAGAACATAATGGTTTATCTCAATTTTACTGGAAAGTCCTAGTTTGAAAGTAATTGCATTTCAAATAAAAATGTAATCCATAAAAGCCCATTATGATTTGTAAATAAATGTGTGTTTAATAAATATTTTCTGATTTTTCTCAACTTTCTACAAGCCAAATTCTAAGTTCAAAGTGAAGATTCAAATATAATAATAGTGGACTCAAATACAACAGAAATACATTTTAAAAGGTAACAAACAATAAAATATCTGCACTGGTTGCTTTGTAAAGAATAAAATAGGTGGTACGAATTGGAAAGCAAGGTCAGCACTCCAGAATCCATTAGATGGCTGTGGATATAGAAAAAAAGATGAAAAATGAAGGATTCATTGTGGCAAAGTAAGTTACAGTATTCATAAATTAAATATTGAGATTGAGGGGAAAAGAAATTACATATAATTTTGTTACTTGTTATTTTTTACCACTAAAGAAAGTCAACAAAAATCATGAAATGCCTTAGAGGGAAATCCCTGATGAAAAGGCTGACAGAACCATAGGAATATTTTACTGTCATAGGAGACAACTTTTCTGATGGCAACTGACCAGTGCTCTGTCGGCTCCTCCCACTCAAAGAAGGGTTTATAAGGTGCTCACAGATTTGTGTAGGATTCCTTATGAAACTTGAACCCTAACTGGCACACCCACTGGATGTACTGACCTATGCAGATTGACTAGATAATCTGTATAAGTACGTCAAATTGCAATGCACGGACAGATCAAGGGTAGTGTGGATCGAGCCATGTTCGTAATCTCTATTAAATCACCCATCATGGAACTGTCCAGAGACCATGACACCAACAATGTACTGTACAAACAGTAATCTCTTTGTGGGCTCATTATCCACTCACTAACGTGGCTGTTTTTACCTCCTCTTCTTTGTCTAAAATTCTACCCCTCTTCTCTCAGATACTGTACCTGTATCATAATTCACTGGTGAAATAGAAGGAAATGCCTATTAATTTATTTATTATGGACCAATATGTCAGCCTACTTGAATCGGACCCTTTCTCCTAATGCCTGGATTCTATGACTTTCTTTTTACAAGAATAGTTTTATAGAAGTTATATCCCCTTTGTTTGGCTTCAACAATATTCTTCCTTTGTGTCATCCTCAATAGTATATAACTGTGTGATTAAATTTCCCATCTTAAAATTAAGTAAACAGTGATAAACCAGCAGAAACTCCTCTCCACCTCCCTCCACTTTGTGTCTCACATCATTATTTTCTCCTCACAGCACAGCTCCTCTTAAAGTTGGATAAATTCACTGTTACTCCCTCTTCTCCTTCCATGTGTGATGTGGAGTACTCTCCAATTGCACAAATTAAACCAAACTGTTCTTTTCAAAGTCACCAGGGACCTTCGGTTTGTGAATCACGAGTCCCTGCTCTGGTTTTAGTTTATTCAGATTCTCACCCACTGGGGAGATCTCGCTCTTCCTTTGCAGTATCTTTTCTCATGTTTCTCTCTTCTTCCTACTGCCACTTCCCAATTCCACTCATTCTGATTTTTCCAGGCAATCCCTGGAAAAATTGATTAGCAGTCTAGTCAGCTGGATGCTTTTCCCTTTTCTAGTTACATTCTCTGCCAAAGGGGTCTCACCTGTCACCACGCCCCACAAGCCTGTCCTATTGACTCCCTTGTTGGTACACGCAACCCTAAGAGCTCTGCTATGGGAGCGCTCCTCAATTCTATCCCCAGTTTCAAAGGAAGTTTCCTGACACAATTTGGGTCCATAATATGTGACCGTCGAGGAAGAGGAGGAGGCAGAGGGGGAGTAAAAGGGAGACAGAGCAAAAGGGGACAGAGGAAAGGATCCTATGGAGAACCTGAAAGAGTAGGGGAGATGATGAGGAAGAAGAACTGTGGTCTTTGTCCAGCTACCAAAACAGAATGATTGTAAAATGCTGTTTATATCCATTGGTTATTTGTCCTAATACATATTACACAGGAAAATTTGTTTAAGCTCTTGTTAAATACCTATATGTTCTATATAATATAGTCCAGCATCTTTAAATTCCTACCTGGAATGTTAAAATATGAAGAGTCAGGAAAATATATGATAGGATATATATTTTTATAATCATTGGCTAGTGAATTGACTATTTTGCTAATGCAGTTGTGAAGCATGTCAGCATAAATAAAAATGACCACTATTAAATCACATTTATTCGTCACTGTTAAGTAAATCTTTGATTAAATTGTACCATGTGAATAGAAAAGGAGAAATTTTGCACAATCATAATTTCTCCCAAGTGGGAATGTATTTCTGAGTTCAAAGGCAATCAGTTCTTAATATCTTATATAAATCACCCTTTCTATATCTATTATACCTAAAACATTAATAACAACCCTGGTCTTCGAAAGGGGACTTGAAATGTATATGGCCACAGAAAAGTGTTCAGCTATTTCATTGTGTTTTTGGTATTCATATTCCATGGTTTCAATGAATGTGGTTGTTTTTGTCTTACAAGTTTATTTCTCCTATTTCTACACGCATATCTTGCAGTGTTAGGTTTTACCTTCTTTGAGATACAAAAGTATATTTTATTTTGAAAAACAAATTGTTATACTTAAGAAACCAGTAAATAAACAGGCTAAAGAATTTTATGAATTGCTCAAATAAACATATGTAGCCTTATTTCCTATTGCTTTGAAGATCAAGATGACATTTTAATAATGTCATCTTAATAATTTATTTATTTTTATTTTTTTTTTATTGAATGGTAACTGTGTACATTGATGCACTTTGGGGGCTTAATAATTTATTGACATTTAATAATTTATAGATGTATATAAAATTGTTTATAAAAATTTAATCCTTTCAAGTATTTTACTTAAACGTGTTTTTAGAAGGAAGTACCAGTGTAGAACATTAAAAGATTGATTCATTTCTGAACTGCATAGTATATGCTTGATATTTTAAATTTGTTTTTAATGTTAGTACATCTTTGATGTAAATAATATGCAATACCTTCTGGAGACATCTCTGGTACAGTGGCCTCATAAGGTTCATCTAGGAATTTTGGCTCATTGTCATTGATATCCGAAACTCTGATGACAAACTCAGACTCAGGTTCCACAGCCTTTCCAGTGGTGATGTCTATTACCTGGGCTCTTAGGATGTAGAGGGATTGTTCTTCTCTATCAAGCTTCTGTTTGGCATATAGGTCACCTGTTCTTCCATCAATGGTAAAAATGTTTTCAGCTCCAACTCCCAAAAGTTTATACTGGAAAGAGTTGTTTCCATTATCCAAATCAGATCTTAGCTACAAATGAGAAGAGGGATAATTTAGTTTCTAGATATCTGAAACAGGAAAATCAAATTCAGTGATTATATTGGCATATATTTTAATTATTCCCTAAGTGAATTATTCTATATAATTCCCCGCATTATATTACGTAGGTAAAATATTAATTTCAAAATTAAAATGTATCACCAAGCAGATGCAAGTGTCTGAATTTTTGATGTAAAGAAGTGTAAAAATTTAATTATTCTATATGATTCTAATTAGAAAATATAATAGTTGAAAAGTAAAGCCTGTTTTATAAATTATGTACAACATGGTTCAAGTTAAATTCACAATTACATTCTTAGTCAATAAAAGCATACTCTCAAATGCTTATATTAGGTTGAGACTTGGAGACAGATAAGAAGATAATAATCTAGGTATATTTAGATAGTAATACTCTGTCTTTAGTCTTAAAATGCACAGAAAACATGGAAATATTAGAAATAAAATTATAGAGCATAATGACAAGAAAATTATCTTAACCCTTTGTTGGGCATATAATACATGCCACTATATATATAACTTCCTTTATATTACTGTTTTCCAATACCATGCATAATAATATTGTGAAATACATACTGTATCATTGACATAATCATTTTTTCTATAGAGAATAAGAGTGACACCCAGACAATTTTACGAGCTTTTCCAGATTACTTGGTTTTCATGTAGATTTGTGATTTAGACCACATGACCTTTAATCCTAGATTCACCCCTGATAACAACTAAGTGACATGATCTTTAGCCTTTGATTTTCAGCCAGAAGATATAAACCTCTTTTTTCTCAACATAGTCTTCTTAATTACCAAATACATTTTTCCTGTGCCTTTATCTTTTAAATTTCTAAAAAACACAATAGATTTGGTTATTGCTAATAGTGTTGATGAATTATTTAGAATTTTAAATTTATATGTAAATAAGTGTAAATTTGGTAGAGTAAGATGCATGTTTTTCATATCTAACAATTATTTTTCCATAAGAGAATAAACAGAACATGATGCTCTAATTATGTCATGATGTTAAGAACCTAAGGAAAACAATTCCAATCAACATATTAAATGAGCAATATGTGGTCCATATTTTTAAAATGACATCATTTCAATGTAGTTTGAGAACGTATCCAGAATTAGAATTAAGAATTATCAAATACAGTAATAAATAAATGTATGTCAAGCATATTCACAGTGTAATTTTCAAAGACTACTAAGCTTGATATTTTTAAGGGAAAAAAATAACTTCAAAATTTTACCATGAAATATATATGTCAATTTCGTGGACTCTAGTATTATACAGTTTCCTTACTTCTTGGTTCAAAACATATTTTTCAAGTAAGCAGCTCCTATCAATTCTGCAAACCATTATCACTTTCAATTTTCACTTAATTGGACTTTCCAGTCTCAATTTCTTTTCACAAATGGATCAAAGGCAGAGTTATCTTGGACACATCAGCCATATTTTATCTGTACTAGCTCCTTAATTACAAGCACCTAAACATTCATAATCGTTATCTTTTAAACTAGTTATCTGTGTGGTATTTAAGCCTAATGAGTTTGTTTAGAGGGAAAACATCTGTTAGAGAATTTTCATAAATATTTTTATAGAATGAAATAATAGACTGAACCAATCACTAGGTGAAATGAAGTAACAGGAGATTTGTGTAGGGAGTAGAGACCACCAGGAACCCTGACAGCCCCAGAGGTGGGCTTTGTCCCAATTACACGCATGCACTTCCCTGCACCACCTTATTTACTAAAAGTCACCAGCTGATCTTAGCCTGTCACCCCGTTCAGTGATGGGAGAGCATATGGTGCTCTGTGGAGTCCATTATGACGGTGTCTAGAGAGACTCCTTGTTACCTAGCAGACGCTTAACTGTGGACCTCATTAGTGCCATCGTGTATGTGATTCACCTGAAGTCATCTTAGAAAATGAAAAAGGAGGAGAAATATTATTTGTAGCAGGTGTGTGGCTCTGCCCCTCCACCTCCACATCCACATCCTCGCATTTTGAAATCTGCCTAAAATCCTAATCTAAGCCTTTATCAAATAGACTATTTACATTCGGCTGATAGGATAGGTGAACTTCTACAGAAAACAGACACCATCCTAACAGTGCAGCTCTCCCGAAAGGTCTAGAAAAAGAGAGTTAATAAATTTTGAATACTTCACCCTTTGGGCCCAATTAAATTTTAGTGCCAGTTAATTAGCAGTTAAACTTATTTCAGTTCATTCATCTAGAGAAAGAGCCTTACAGAAAAGGACACGATATTGTAATTACCTCTGCTTAAGGAAAACCAAATAATAAAATAAAAACCAAAAACATAAATAGGAGATGTTCTATCTCATTAAGGAATTATTCTTAAAATATATTTTTCGATGAAAATGAAGATAATTATTCCTTCAACTTTAGCTAATCAAACAAGCCATGAGGGCTTCTGAAGCTACTTAACTGTGTAAGGATATGGTATTAATCTGCTTCATTAAAAATGAATGAGGGGTAAATCAACAGCCACTTAGCCTAACAGAAAGTCAAGCTAAATGCTGTTGGTAAATGATATTTGTCTCAGAGTGGCCGCTTTGATCCATTGCCAAAAATAACACCATCAAATTTCCAGATGTTGTTAAAAGAGGGCTGCGTTTTCACAGGAGAGATTAAAATGAAAATGTATAATGGGAGGTAGCCCTTCTTCCTCCAGTTTTTAGAGGCTGTTTTAGGTGTTTGCAAATCTGAAACAAATAATTATGTTGTTGTTTGAGGATTCCTAGTGGTTCTGCTGAGAAAATATAGAAATCCTCAAATACCAGAACGCCCCCAACTCATTGTTTACACCGTCCTGCTATTTGCAGGAGCACTTGTTAGAACATCAGTACCCGGCCGATATGATGAGTTGTGTTCATTTCCTCTGGCACAGAAAATTGGTTCCACACCCAGCCCCGCTTCACTCTCGAATGAGATCCTGCCGGCTGCTTTGCTCTTTCCGTTTTAACGTTTTCTGCTGCTGTAAGGCACGGCCATGGGAGAGGAATTCCCAGCGTAAAAAGTAGCAGTAAACAGCTATCCATTCTCCAGACTCTATTCATTCCAGTTGTTGCTCTTCAGAGGAGACAGGATGGTGCAAAACAAAAACCTTCTCTTCCTTTATAATCTTTTTATCTCTTGGGTATCTTTCACATTCCTAAATGAGAAATAAAAAAGAAACGACATTTTTAAAAATAACATTTTCTCATGTAATTGCTAAGACAGGTTACAATTTTTGCATCTGAAAAAATGGAATAAAAATACACATTTAATTTATCTACCAATTAAGCTAGTTAAGTGTATTTTGTAGCTCAGCAGTAATTTGATTAGAATAATTGTAAGTTTCTGCTCAAGAACTGTTCGTTTTAAACTGCAGTCACAAATCTGCCTGAAGGTTGGAAAATCACACCAGGACTCTACGGGATTGACAGCTGACACAGGGGAAGGACTTTCTTTCTTTCTTTTTTATTTAACTTGCTTATTTTCTCCTTTCTGTCTCAGTAAAACTCGAACTCTCCCATTAAAACAACAGTCAAGCCAGGAGGGAAAAAAAAGAAATATTTTTTCTTCTTTCTATTTAATATAAATAAATTTTCTAATTCAATTTCCCAAATTATGAAATTTTTTTTATGTAGCTAGTTTAATGGACAGCTTAAAGCCAGGGGGATTTTCTAATCCGTTATACCAGTGCTACAAAACACTCTGATTCCCATCCTGTGCAGGATATTTGCCCTTCCATAATTGAAAGATGGGAGAAAGAGGCATTTTTCATCTTCTCAACAAGAAAATCACACCATTTTTAGCTAATAAATATGAGATCATAGCGCCCAAATAAAATGACTGAATGTTTATAAATGAAAGATAGATATGAAAAATATCTTAGCTGTCTTCTGGTATTTAAATGTTAACAAACAAACAAACAATAAAACATAAAAACTCTGCCTACTGAGTTTTACGTTGGAAACTTTGTATTTCCCTGAGCCTGATCTTACCAACTGTTCCTGTCATGACTGATAATCCTCTGTTATATGAGGATTATACGAACCTAAATAGCTTTTCCTTTGCTACATACACATACAACTAAATTTGATTTATTTCTTTGGCTGTCCTAAAGAAAAGTAACATTGTGAGATCCACAATGAAGTTTGAACTGCATAATCAACACGAAAGTGATAAGAGTCCCATATTAAAAGTTTTTCTGCATGGTTCTGTTTTGAATCTTCTTGCATTTTTGAGCGTCCCTCAGAGATTATTTTTTTTTTTGGTCCTTGGCTCTTGCTAAGAAGAGTTGTTAAAAAAAACACCTAATTAAGAAGGAACACGGGGTTCTGTGGTCCCTGTGCAGCTCCTTCAAGCAGATGTCTTCTTGGTTACAGGTTTACTTAATGAAGGTCATAAAAGAATTCAGCTGAGGTGAAAATTAAAGATGATTCACATCCTTACCTTTAATACTTGAAATTCAAATAATGTCTATGTTTTAGAAATGTGAATGTATATTTGTTGATAGCTGGTGAATAATATTTGGAGCAAGTATAATTTTCTTCCTGAAAAAGATATTTTGTGTAACATTTTCAAAACTATCACTGACACAATATGAAGTGCGTTTGTCATGTTTTCGTGACTAATATCTTTGTTGACTTTGTGTTACATTTTTATACATCTAAAAGTACATAATGGATACTTTTCTCATTACTCAGTGTCACTCCTTTTTTCCTTTTTTTAATTATTGTAGCCTATCTCATCTACACACATGCTCACTTTTTTATATTGAAACAAATTTCAAATGGCATATCATTTTAACCATTTGAGACACACACTTGATACCATCTGTATCTCTGTGTGTACATTTTTTAAAATCAATATAAATCTTAAAAATTAAGATTAAGGCTTAATATAATTAAATATCCATCCAGTGACTGCATAAAAAGTCTTCAAACATCTTTTTTTTTTTGGCTGGGGCTGGGTTTGAACCCACCACCTCCAGCATATGGGGCTGTTGCCCTACTCCTTTGAGCTACAGGTGCTGCCCCAAACATCTTGAATCAGGATTTAAATATTTCCACACTATGTAGTTTGTTGATACAATCTTTTGGTCTCTCATTTGACCTACAAGTTTCTTTCTCTATTTTAATTTTCCTTTCCACTTATGTGTTGAACAAAGTTATTTCTCCTATAAATTTTTCTAGATTCTGACTTTTGCTAACTATGCCTCTGTGGTATGACTCAATATATGTTTTTGTCCTTGACATTTCCTGTAAATTAGTAAAGCCTTGATTATATGCAATTTAAATTGTTTTCAAAAACATTCATAGCTGATATTACGTTCTTATTGCACGACCTCTTTAGTAGACCCAGAAGTAAAAGTATAATCTACATATGCAGAAAGCCAGTGGAAATGTTGTACATGTAAAGTAAATAAATGGAAGATAAGACAAAGATTCAAATTGATCTTTTACAGAAAAAAAAATCTACTACGATGTCTAAGATAAAAATACACTATATAGTATATGACACTTTATTCATTACCAAGAAAAAAACAGCTAGTGAAATTAAAGACAGAGGTATAAACCATCCAGAAATAAATAGAAAAAAAAGTTAAAAAATCAAAAGTGAACAAGTATTAGGGAGTTTTGAGAGGATCCCAAACATCCTAATAGATATGTATATCTGCAATCCTTAGAACAGAGACAACTTAGAAACCCCTAGATCTGAGTAGCAGGAATCATCTCACTTTAGAGGGAGAAGCCAGACAAAAAGGACTCATTTTTTTACTGGACACTGGAGGCACAGATGGGCGGGCAAGTGCTAGGAGTCAGGACGTGCTGGATACCTGTCAGGGTGGGAGAGAGTGTCTTCAAGTTTTCACCCACTCGTCCCAACAAGGAGCCTTCTGCAGAAAAAGACCTCTGGCCAAGGCCACAGACATGAAAAGAAGCAAAGGATGGGGCTAGAAGTGTAAATAAAAGAAGAGCAGGACCCACAGGGAGGGACTGAGTCCTCATCTGCAGCCCAAGTCCTCATCTTCAGAGCATGCAAGGGGGTGATGGTGTCGCAGACTCCATGGGGAGGGAAGCTCTTCCTGGGGGGACTGCCTTTGTCATTACCTAAGCCTCAGGCTTGAAAAATCGCCACAAGCTTTCTAAGCAAAGAAAACCAAAATGATTAGAGAGATTTGTCATGATACTGATCAGAAGATTCCAAATGTTTAAAAATGTCAGTTGTCTTCAAAGTGTTCTATAGATTCAGTACGACTACAATAAAATTTCTAGAAGGATTTTTGGGAAACTCACATGCTAATTCTGCAATTCTATATATAAATGCACGGGACCTATAATAGCTCAAACAACATTGTCAAAAGAAGAACATTTGAGGACTTTGCCACCTGACTTGCAGACTTACTGTGTAACGGTGCAGTTGTCACTGTGGTGTGCTACTGGACTGACAAATAACTTGATGGGACAGAGCAGACAGTGCACCCAAAGACCTACACAGGTACGGCCAACTGAGTTCCAACAGAGGTTCAGAGAGCAAGTCAATGAAGAAATAACAGTCTTTGTTCTAAAATACCTGGGGATCACTTAAGAAAAATAAAGATTCTGTTTCATACTTTACCGTATACAAAGTCACAAAAATAAAATGAATACAATCTTAGAAAAAATCTTTGTGATGTATTTAAACCAACCAACCTCCCTCCTGCCTTTCTTTTTCTTTCTTTCTTTTTTCCCTTTCTTTCCTTTGTTTCATTTCTTTCCTTTCTTTTTGTCCCCCTGGGTAGAGTGCCATGGCATCATCATAGGTCACAGTAACCTCAAACTCCAGGGCTCAAGTGATCCTCTTGCCTCAGCCTCCCAGGTACCTGGGACTACAGATGCCTGCCACAGTGCCTGGCTAGATTTTTTTTTTTTTTTTAAGGGATGGGGTCTCACTCTTGCTCAAGCTGGTCTCAAACTCCTGAGTATATGCAATCCACCTGCCTTGGCCTCCCACATGCTAGGATTACAGGCGTGAGCCACCACCACACCCATTCTAACACTTATTCTAAAATGTTCTTATAAACAACATCAAGAGCACATCTGTTATCATGATTAACAATATTTCAAGTCATTGCTCTGACTATGTCGTAATGGAAAGGAAAATACCAGGGAAGACATAAAAGGAACAAAAGTTTGGTTAAATGTAGAATTGATAAGTTATAGTGTAAACTCTACTGAAGATAAATAAATCATTACAGTATGGTATCAAATATTAGAGGTAGATATACATATTCATTGATGAGTATATAATGATAAAAACAAAATTAGTGACATTTAAAACATAAAAACTAAAAAAAAACTGACTGACAAGTTGGACTGTGTCAAAATTGAAACTTTCCTTTCAAAAGACCACTATAAGAAATACTCACAAGGTTGGTGGCTTAACACAACAAATGTTTATTCTCTTTCAGTTCAAAATGGCTTTTACTGGGCTGAACCTAGGGTGCCAGAAAGGCCACTATTGCTCCAGTTTTCTGAGGAGAATCCATTTCTTTACCTTCCTCAGGGTCTCCAGCTACATTTTATCTCTTGCACTCATAGCTCACAGCCAGGCAAGGCCAGGAGGACTTGGAAGGACTGTCCGCTCTGTCACCATGTCACCTTTCTCTTTGTCTGCTGTGTCAAATTTTCCTCTATTTATCCTCTACAGTGACACTTAGGATTGCCTACTTGACTGGAGCCCACGTCGATAATCAAGGATAATCTCCATATCTCAGTATCTTTTACTGAATCTTATTGCCATTTAGAGTAACATTCATAAGTTTCAGACATTAGGAATTCAGTATTTTAGGGCACCATTATGTCGTCTACCACAGATGCTAATAAGAAAATGAAAAGAGAAATCTCAAAGGGAGAGTAAATATTTTAAAATTATATATCTGATTAAAGATTGATATCCAGAATGCACGATGCCTTTCAAAACTCAGTAATAAAAAAATAACAAAATTTGAAAATATATGCAAGCATTTGGATAGACATATCACACAAGAGAGAGTAGACATGAAATATGA